TACGTTACCCTTTGATTTTTTCTTTCGGCGGGTGTGGGAAGCGTCCTCCTTTATTTTTCTGTTATTTTTGTTTTGTTATATTTTGATCGGTGTCCGAGGGCTCTTTTCTCGAACGGTCGGTGCGATACCTGTTCTTTTCTTTCTATCATTTTGTTTTCTTTTTCCGAGTGGTTTGTACCCTTTTTTTGTTTTTTTGTTTTCTCGCGGCGTCGTATGTGCCGGGTTTTGAGACCACGGGCTCCCCATTTTTGTGGACTATAGAGCTAATAATGTGAGAAACAACAAACAACAACAAACTAAATCAATTGCTGTCAGTGCCTCTAGAATCATGGACACATTCCATCCCCCCCCAATAATTAATTGTCGATGCAACGAAAAATAGCAATAAACTTCAATTGGAAACAATCAACAGTCATAGAAGTGCGGGCTACTAGGCTATTCTTGCTGTAAAATGGAACACCGCTGGCATACCACGTCATGGCCACTGAACCAAACAGCAGGGTTGCCCTGTTTTCTGCAAAACCCGCACAAACGTCAAGAAAAAAATTCAAGCCCAAGCCATGCCACACATTCAATTCCAACAGAAACAAAAATACGCACAGACACTTGTGACTTCCTTCCGTAGAATTCAACTGAAAATTCAAGTGAAAATGCAGTACCAAACGAAACAGAAAAAAAACAGCAACAAATAAGAAAGCGCCTCGAATACANAAATACGCACAGACACTTGTGACTTCCTTCCGTAGAATTCAACTGAAAATTCAAGTGAAAATGCAGTACCAAACGAAACAGAAAAAAAACAGCAACAAATAAGAAAGCGCCTCGAATACAATATATCGGACTCATATCCAAGACACCACAAACACACACCACGGGCAAAACAGCGTACTCGCGTATTCCCGTACTACTACTCTCCGCGCCCTCTATTGTACTTGACTGAGAAGGGCAGCTGCGGCAATGCGATCGCTGAAGCTCGACTCCTGCCTCTGGTCCATACACGCACGCAGAATAGAAAATGCTCGCTCCATGAAGGCAGAGGATGGCTGAATCAGTGATGTGCGGTGTGTCCTGTGTTCCTGTGGTCTTGGTCTTAGGTCTTCGGTCTTTGCGTCTTTTCTCTCCTCTCTTCTTGTACTAAAGTCAAGTAGTTTGAATCAACAGTCATCAAGGTTGGTTTCAACAACGAATGTTTTCAATTAACACCGAATCTCCAATCAATCTCCAGATCTATCTACAATTTGTGGTCTGAACTGTGAACTTGAAACTAAAGAGTTTAAAGACCAAGAGGCTTTGAAGGGGATAACAAAGCTCTGTTTTGGTTACAATGAGCTGTCTGAGCGTCTGAGCCACCCCTTACCCCCATCTCACTCGTGCATAATCACCGCTATGCACGACAACCCCTGTTATGCACACTTAAATGCATAAAAAAATGTATATATGCGCGCTCCAACTGACGCTTTTTTTGCTTATGCACGAAAAGCCCCGTTATGCACGAACGAACATAAGCATGCATAGCAGGTCAGGGCCTATCCACGACCCTCAAAACCCACGAAAAGAAGAATGACTACAAACGACCACGTATCTGGGAATAATATACTCTTACAACAGTTGCGTTTCAAAATTTGAACCATTGAGAGTTGTTGTTGTTGTTGTTGTTGTCTTCACAGTAAAAACCATCCCGGTCTCTCTATCCAGTACCTCCTTCTGTCTCAATCTCTCCGTATTAATCCAGCACTTGACTCGGTCAATTTCCGTGGTCACAGGCTAACGTACCTAGAAAAGATATACCAAAATAAAATGGACCCCAAGGGGTAGCAGAGAGATGAAATACAATAAAACAAAAGAAGAACCCGAAACAAAGAAATAAATATATACCTCCCTTCTTCCCCTCGCTCCTCGACAAGCTTTTGCTTAGACATGGGTTGTAGCGAAGGGGGGGGTCTTTCTGGCGAGCAGGGCTAGACTCACCCTCAAGGGATGACCGAAACCTTCTTGCTGCTGCGCAT